AGAAGCGGCAAGTAGCAATGTATGAAAATTTCAAATATGTTTCGCAAGTTAATTTGCAAAGTATGCCTAAATTATGTCACAATATCACGTATAGTTCTAAATCGCTTCAAGAATTATTAAAATATGTATATAAGAAATGTATTGGCGTTTGAAGTTTGTAATTGACTTAAGATATTTGAGGTTATTCTCAGTCAAAATCAGTGGCGTACAGTGGCAACAAAACTATTATTTATAATTAACGTCAATGTGTTATGGTAATCATGCAACAAAATTTGATTGTTAGCTGTTGCTAAGATAAACAAAATTAAGGACTAATTGTATATTGATTGCAGATGATTCACAGTTAAATTTGCAATAAAATCAAAAGTCTGTTGACCCGAGAGCGCGCGTGAGTGAGTGTCATCATCATCATCAGCATTGTCGAAGAGATAGAGAGCAATTATTGCAACTGGGAAGGGGGTGCAGATGTCGGCCATATGGCGAACGTTAATTTTCATCATCCGCCCGTCCGTTTCTCGTATGTTTTACACACACAGCCAACTATTTCTTGTTTTTGCATTAATTTCGCGAATCCCACCAAAAAAGGGATTTCCACTGCTGCACAATGGAAACAATTGCAAGTGCGTTTTCTTTCTCTGCGACGAGATGATGATGATGATTATTTTGTTTGTTCCCACGATATATGAGCCCATTTTCCGATGCAAATTATTTCTTTGCGGGGTGAATGAGGAAATGAGTGGAAGTAGAAGAGAGGAGAAGAAACAATGATGCCATTCCTCTGACTAGTCTTTGATTCATCCTCGGTTTCTTAGCAACCGTTGCGAAATCTGCAAAAATAAAAGAGTGTCGCCAGCCTCGCCAGCTTCGATGATTATAAATAGAGCTGCATATGGGTACACACAAAAAACGAATAGTGACACATCTTCAAGACATTTCATGTTCTTCCTGGATGACCATTTTCCTTATTGTAACGTGCAACCAACCAACCAACCACCTGCGACAGAACACCTGTTGTTGCCAGGACGACGGAAGCGCACTCTCCCTTTTTTTTATAACTGCTGCAGTTGCCCTTGAGAGCAGACAACGAGGAGGATGGAAGCATCCATTAACTTAATGAAAGAAGGAGATAGAGAGAAGAGATGAGAGGTGTCTGGATCGATTCCGTTGCTTAGCATCATGATCAACATCGCTTGTTTTTGTTTGTTTTCCCCAATTCATGTAACGAACAGAGATGGAGAGATGTAAACAAACCGCGCCTGCATTTATTTTTTTTTGGCAAGTTGTTGTGACGTTACAGGCAACGCCGACTTTGTTATTGTTTCGTCAATTCGCTGAGCGAACTAAATTCAATTCTTTAATTACTCCATAATGACTCAAGCTAATTAGATCGTTGAAGATGCAAATTAAAGCTAAAACTCTACTCTTCCAAATTAACCTACTGTCAGATTTGTGATTTATATAGTTTTTCTGCTATGAACTGTTAAATTTCCGGTTTTTTTTTTTTTTGCAATTGTTATACGCAAATCGGAAATCTGCAAACTGGTTTCATATAGTCTGCATCCAATTTCCAATCGATTATTATCATCATCATCATCACCTGTTTCCTTCTCCTTCATGTCGCGCACACACACTGTCAGCCCTCGGGCCTCACGTGACGTCACGCGTTCGTGCAGTGTAACGGTTTTGTTTGTGAGAAGGCCGTGCACTTGCAAAATACATGCATACACACACATACACGATCAAAAACAAGGTTAAATAAAAACTATCCTTTGTTTTCGTCACGTGCTCTCATCTCACCAAATCAAGATCTCTTACGAACAATGTGCATTATCCAAAAAGTTGTCTTGTAAATAAAGTTTTAGAGAGTTTAACTTTTTACAAAAAGCTTTCGATAAGAAATGGTAAACCGCAGAAGAACAAACAAAAAAAAATAAAAGACGACGACAAATTACAAAGGAGTTGCTTGGTAATCTGAAGCCGCACGACGCTGAGTAACCAGAGACTCGCCTTTTATTTTTCTTTTTTTTTTGTTCCCTCTGTGTTTCTTCTCTTCAGACATCAACAATTTAACAACTCGCGTGTCTCTCGATACAAATCGATTGGGAATCGAACCCCCACATGCATAAATAGCTTTTTTGTTTTTCCTCTTTCTTTTGTTTTGATGAACGTAACGTAAACGACCCTAAACGTCCTCTTTTCCCCTCTACCACCGCCGAAAATGAGATTCCTACGGAGGGTTGAACGAACTCTACAAAAGCCAAATCGGCTGCACGCGACGATCCAAAGGGTCTCTGGGTCATAAAATCTACTTTCGAGGGATAAGAGGGGAGAGAACAGACCTTCGATCGCGCCAAATTTCGACGCTGTTTTGTTTCCGAAATACCACGCACTTTTGTTTCCGTAATTCAGCGCACCTTCGATTCAGCAATTTATGTTTCTTTCTTTTTTTTTTCTAAACAAAAACCAATTGTTAATTAGAATTTGTTTCTTTTCAAAGCGTTCTTCACTTCTTTTATTTCTTCAATTTAAAGAACAGAGATCTTTGTTTTCTTGTTTTGTTTTTTTTTTTCTTTAAATTTGAAGAGTAGCAGTAGCAAAAAAAAAACAAACGATAATGATGTCAAATTATTAATTGGAGCGAATTTGTTAGTTAAATTGGAAGAAGTGAAAGAATTGCGGAGAAATTAAAGTGAAAACGTTTTTCGTAAATTCGCCGTTTCCTGCATTTACACACACACTCATAATATAGTAAATTAATTAGATAATTACGCAACCAACTTCACGATCAATTAACTTTTGTTTTTTTTGTTGTGACAACAGATGCCTATGCTAATGAACGGGTGGCTCGATACAAAAAAAAAAATAAGCATTCTTCAAGTGTTTCGATTGTTTTAATTCGTCAATTGTTCTTTAAACTGAGCCGTCCACTTGATTTCAAATTTAATTAATTTGTTTTCGTTTCGTTTGCATTTTGGCTTATTCGAATCGACTACCAAAGTAGCTTTGTATTTGTAGTATTTAAAGAAGCTTTTGTTTCGTGATTTCTAATTTGTTTTTTTTTTTTAGAAAGAAAACAAAAACAAAAACAAAACATAAGCCTTCTTCACATAATTGTTTTAATAATTTCGAGCGTTTGTTTTGAAAACAAATTGAAAGTTGTGTATAAAGTGTATAAAAGTAAGTATCTAAAAAGTTTGTGTTTCTTCAATAAAAATTTTACAAGTTCGCAGATAATAAAAGAAAAGAAGTTGTGAACGTAAATGATTTATTGTCTGTTTTTAAGGTATTTAAGACAAAAGAAAACTGAGCCATCCACTTGATTTCAAATTTAAAACAAAACAAAAACAAAAGTAAAACATAAGCCTTCTTCACATAATTGTTTTAATAATTTCGAGCGTTTGTTTTGAAAACAAATTGAAAGTTGTGAAGTGTATAAAAGTAAGTATCTAAAAAGTTTGTGTTTCTTCAATAAAAATTTTACAAGTTCGCAGATAATAAAAGAAAAGAAGTTNNTCGAATCGACTACCAAAGTAGCTTTGTATTTGTAGTATTTAAAGAAGCTTTTGTTTCGTAATTTCTAATTTGTTTTTTCTTTTAATAAATAAAACAAAAACAAAACATAAGCCTTCTTCACATAATTGTTTTAATAATTTCGAGAGTTTGTTTTGAAAACGAATTGAAAGTTGTGAAGTAAGTGTATAAAAGTAAGTATCTAAAAAGTTTGTGTTTCTTCAATAAAAATTTTACAAGTTCGCAGATAATAAAAAGAAAAGAAGTTGTGAACGTAAATGATTTATTGTCTGTTTTTAAGGTATTTAAAACAAAAGAAAACTGAGCCGTCCACTTGATTTCAAATTTAATTAATTTGTTTTCGTTTCGTTTGCATTTTGCCTTATTCGAATCGACTACCAAAGTAGCTTTGTATTTACAGTATTTAAAGAAGCTTTTGTTTCATAATTTCTAATTTGTTTTTTTTTAAGAAAGAAAACAAAAATAAAACATAAGCCTTCTTCACATAATTGTTTTAATAATTTCGAGCGTTTGTTTTGAAAACAAATTGAAAGTTGTGAAGTAAGTGTATAAAAGTAAGTATCTAAAAAGTTTGTGTTTCATCAATAAAAATTTTACAAGTTCGCAGATAATAAAAGAAAAGAAGTTGTGAACGTAAATGATTTATTGTCTGTTTTTAAGGTATTTAAGACAAAAGAAAACTGAGCCGTCCACTTGATTTCAAATTTAATTAATTTGTTTTCGTTTGCGTTTGCATTTTGGCTTATTCGAATCGACTACCAAAGTAGCTTTGTATTTGTAGTATTTAAAGAAGCTTTTGTTTCGTAATTTCTAATTTGTTTTTTCTTTTAAGAAAGAAAACAAAAACAAAACATAAGCCTTCTTCACATAATTGTTTTAATAATTTCGTTTGCGTTTGTTTTGAAAACAAATTGAATGTTGTCAAGTGTATAAAAGTAAGTATCTAAAAAGTTTGTGTTTCTTCAATAAAATTGTACAAGTTCGCATATAATAAAAGAAAAGAAGTTGTGAACGTAGATGATTTATTGTCTGTTTTTAAGGTATTTAAAGACGAAAGAAATCGTTGCGGCCTTTGTTCTTCGAATCAATCGTCGGAGGCGGCGGCGACGGTAGAAACAAAAACAAAACAACAAAACAATTGCGAAATCGATATTGACACTTACATGCGGGTGCAACAAAACATGCGCCCTCCTGTTTATCGCTGCACTTGTCACTCTTAACAACAACAACAACAACGACGACGAAGACAATAGAACAACGATAACAAGCGCAGACGTCACACAGCCATCGCGAAAACGGACAAAGACACCGATAAATATTGTTTTTCTTTGTTTTTTTTTTGGACGCGCGCGTTCTCGATCACGAAAAACGAACCGTCGCTGCTCCTATGTTATTGTTCTTCTTCAGCTGTGATCCGGAGCAGCTGAGCGAGCCGTCGCGACGGTCGATATTTACGCCGCAATTTGTTTGTGCGCCGCCGCCGCCGCCGCCTACTCTTCACCCTTCACCACTTCACCCTCTCTGACACACTGACTTTTCGAGCCATTCATCACGCACGGTTTGAGAACCCTCCACCAAAAAAAAAAACAAAGAAAAGAATACAAAAAAAAAGATCATCAACAACATCGAAATTAGGGCAAAACTATACTTAAAGGAATTTGGGATTTAAAACAGAATAGATGAAAATCGATTGATCATAGATGGCGCGCAGGTGACTACCGATAAATAAGAGAGTGAAAGATGTCTCCATGGAAACACGTAAAAATAGAACGTCTTAGCTACGCGCGCTCTCGCTCCTCCCATAGAAGATGACGAAGACGCAGACTTTGTATTTACAAAGTCTGTGTCTTCTTTTGAATTATTCGAAAATTGTGTAATGGGACAAAGTCAAAGACCCGAGGTAACCACTCCGGTTAAGAAACGCTTAAATTTATATGCAAAATAGATGTTTTCAAACTATTATCGAACAATTTTGAGTTCAAAATTAGTCAAATTAAAGCTAATTTAGCTCCGATTGATTAATAATGATTTAGTGTAGTTGATGATGATGATGATGCATTTGTATTGTAATTATAACATTCCGAATTCAAATTTGCTCCACATTTCTTAAAATAAGACGCGAGGATTGCGACGACGACGACGACGAAGATGTTGCTGGAGACGTACAACATCGAGTCGAAGAAATTCCAGAGTTGTAAAGTATAATTAGAAGACGGTGTTAAATTTAGATTGGAAAGAGCGCGCAGATTATCATCATCATCAAGTCTTTGGATGTCTTTGCTGAAGAAGTTGTGTAACAGGAAGACTATGAAATCTAGATGCTGCTAGCACGGAAGTCACCAAGAGGAAACATCGTAAATTTGTGGGAAAACGTGTAAACAAATCGTGTACTTGTTGTTGAGTCTACTCCATCCATGCACATATAAATAAGACGTTTTAGATAAGGTTATGTTTTTTTTTTCTGTTTTTGTTGAGTTCTTCGAACGAAGCAAATATTAAAACGTAAACTTAGACTAAATCTTAATGAGGGAAAGCAGCAATTATACTGTTTGATAACGAAAGTTAGATTGAAAAATCGCAGATAACGTAACAATGTTTATATAATAAGTAAGGCAATTGTTATGTAATCATAATAATTAAAAAATTGAAAAAAAAACTGAACATTTTACAAAAAAATAATTGAAAAAACAAATCTAAAAATCATTATATCTAAAGGAAGAATTAACATTGTGTGATAGTAATTATATCAAAAGAAGCGCGATTGAAGACTGTTTCATATGTAATAATAATATTAGTAAAGACAATCAAAATTTTGCAAAAAAACAATGAAAATTTCGAAAAAATTGACAGATGAATGACAAACAATTTGACACAATTCTGACAGTTGGAAAAGTCACTTAATGAGTTGTTGTCGATTAGCATAAAATGTGAATGTAACAATGTTTATGTCATAAGTAGTGCAATTGTTACGTAATCATAATAATTAAAAAATTGAAAAAAAAAATTGAACATTTTACAAAAAAAATAATTAAAAAAACTAATCTAAAAATCGTTATATCTAAAGGAAGAATTAACATTGTGTGATAGTAATTATATCAAAAGAAGCGGAATTGAAGACTGTTTCATATGTAATAATAATATTAGTAAAAACAATCAAAATTTTGCAAAAAAAACAATGAAAATTTCAAAAAATTTGACAGATGAATGACAAACAATTTGACACAATTCTGACAGTTGGAAAAGTCAATGAGTTGTTGTCGATTAGCATAAAATGTGAATGTAACAATGTTTATGTCATAAGTAGTGCAATTGTTATGTAATCATAATAATTAAAAAAATTGAAAAAAAAATTGAACATTTTACAAAAAAATAATTGAAAAAACAAATCTAAAAATCGTTATATCTAAAGGAAGAATTAACATTGTGTGATAGTAATTATATCAAAAGAAGCGCGATTGAAGACTGTTTCATATGTAATAATAATATTAGCAAAAACAATCAAAATTTTGCGAAAAAACAACGAAAATTTCAAAAAATTTGACAGATGAACGACAAACAATTTGACACAATTCTGACAGTTGGAAAAGTCAATGAGTTGTTGTCGATTAGCATAAAAAGTGAATGTAACAATGTTTATGTCATAAGTAGTGCAATTGTTATGTAATCATAATAATTAAAAAATTGAAAAAAAAATTGAACATTTTTCAAAAAAAAAATTGAAAAAACAAATCTAAAAATCGTTATATCTAAAGGAAGAATTAACATTGGGTGATAGTAATTATATCAAAAGAAGCGGAATTGAAGACTGTTTCATATGTAATAATAATATTAGCAAAAAAAAATCAAAATTTTGCAAAAAAACAACGAAAATTTCAAAAAATTTGACAGATGAATGACAAACAATTTGACACAATTCTGACAGTTGGAAAAGTCAATGAGTTGTTGTCGATTAGCATAAAATGTGAATGTAATCTGAGGAGGCCTCGCCTTCGGAATCATCTGTTCCCAATAAACAACAATCCGAGAGACGACAAAAAAAAAACAACAAACAACATCAACAACAACTTAGTTTTGCTTCGATTTATGGTCGAGTCTTTCGCAACTCTTCTTTCTTTGTCTTAAATTAACTCAAGAATTTTAATTGCAATCTTAATTTAAATTTTCTTTGTTTTGTTGTTTCAGTATTCATTTGCACTCAGTTGAGTGTTTCACTGATTTTGTCTCGTAAACTAAAGAAACAATTGAAAAAGTGTCAAGAAAGTCAATTGTTTTTTTTTTAAATTTTGTTAGTGTAAAACAAATGAGAACTTTCAACGACTATCAATCTATTTTTAAAGGTAAAACAATGGAAACAATTACATAAACCGAAATGTATTAATAATAATAATAATAGCAAACTTGTTATTGCGTCTCATGCCTACAAACTAAAAATCTATTTGTTGCTAAGCAACAGTTGCATTAACAATTTCGTGTTTCTATTGGGAATTTTAAATGATCAACCAAGTTTCCAAATCTTTTGTTTCTCGAATCTTAGCAACAAGTCTTGTTGTGTCAACGAAAACAATCGCTAGCCAAATTAAAGCAAGTTAATTGCAGGTTATGATTCGAATTGGTGGAGTGCAGCTGCAGGTAGAGCGAGAGAGTGAGAGAGAGATAGAGATTTTACCTGAGCTTCGTGGTCCACGGTTCGTGAATCTTTCTGCAGCGTTTTCTTCTTGTACATGTACAGAAAGTAGAATCGAAATCCAATTGGAGGAATGTTCATGAAGCGCACGGAACGACACTTATCGTAGTCAAGGGTAGTTAAAACAATAATAACAAATAACAACAACAATAACAAAACGAAAACGTATCCCAACAGGGGGATCACCAATGGCAACCAACGGACGCGCACTCCGCGACGGTCGCAACTGGACTGACCGGAGCGGTGGAGGATCGGCGGCGATAGGTGCCAGCACCACCACAACAAACGTGAAGTTGTCTCAAAACATAGACAACAACAACAATTAATTAATACCAACAAATTAATCTTACACGATTAATTTTGCATCTACATTGAACGTTCATAATTAAAAGTGTTATAGAATATTCAATTAATCAATTAACAACTATAATTAAATCAGGTTTTGATGTTTAATTACCGCTTAATTTGATTTGGTTGCGTGATCTGGGGTCTTCAATTGCGCTCAAGTTGGTGCACGTGCGCTGTCAAAGTGACGTTTAGCTTGTTTTGATACGCTCTTTTTTTTTTCTTCTTCTCTTATTTGTGATTTTTTCACTGAAGACACGTCAGTTGTGTGTTAAATTAAATTTCGTGGTGTTAATTTGAAATCAGCGATCGTGGCTTCTTCTACGAGCAGCAAAATGCGACGGGCTCACGGCAACTACGAGTACAAACCTCTGTCTCAGAACATGAACGAGATGGAGGACGAGAACAACCGGATGGCTGATCAACTCAAGGATAAAATCGGGGCTCTGAAGTCTCTGTCCATAGATATTGGGAATGAGGTTAAGTACCAGGACAAGCTGCTCAGGGACGTCGACGACGACATGGACAAGACAGGTGGTTTCCTTGGCAACACTATGAACAGGGTGCTGAGGCTGTCGAAGGGTTCACACAACTACTACATCGTCTACCTGTTCCTCTTCTCAGTCTTCATCTTTTTCCTCATCTTCATCATCCTCAAGTTTCGATGAATTCATCATCTACAGAAGATACCCATACACACATCAGTATCAGAATTATATATATATACTGTAAATCTTTATCAATAGTGCGGGGGGAAAAACATCTGAAATCTGGTAGCTGTCAGACCAATCAACTTTCTTCTTTTTTTTTTTCTATTACTATTTAAACATTACAATTACTATGTCGGTATAATAAGATTATTATTATGTTTTTTTTTTAATTGTACATAAAAAGACTTTTATGAATGACAAAAACGTGTATTTCTTTATCATTCCCAATCCCACAACTACATAGGTAATTAATTAAGAACAGATTTATCATTTCAATTTTTACACCAAATGCACATATGGTTGCCTAAATGATTCAATTACTTGAAAACATTTGAAATGTGCAATTTTGGTTGCCTATTATGATACATTTAAATTACTTAAGATTTACGTAATTTAAAGCAACAAAAATTAAAGGATTTGTTAGGTGATTAAACATTGTATTCATTCATCATAATTATTAATTCTCTTTATTTAACAATAGTACAATTTTCATTTTGTTTGTAACTGAAACTGTGTGAGAGATTTAAAAGGAATTTTTATTTTATTTTTTTTTTTTTGAAACAAAACAAAAAAAAATCTCTTTTCTTCTGTTTTCTTTTTTTTTTTTGTTGTTGTTGTATGGACATCTACGTAACGTAAACATTTCTGCCAGACCGTACGAACTGAAAACGTAATCTACATATCTACACATACATAATAGGTAGTACATCTTTTTGCGAAAGGTGAAGAACAATTTTCTTGTTATTTTGATGATCTGTGGTGTTTTTTGATTTGAATGATGAATGCAACGATGCAAATGGTCCCGGCTAATTTGTGTGTGGTGGAAAAAAAGGGGAGAAAACAAAATATTAAAAAGTAGATCAAATGCATTATTTTTTTTTTCACATATTCCAAAACGAGTTTTACATTTTAGTTTAGGTTTATTAGGGGTGGATGTTTTACGTTTTTTCTCGAATCACGAAAAAATTCTCGTATTTCCACTTTTATTGCGTTTTTTTTTCTCTCTCTAATTTCCATTCAACATTTTTTTTAAATAGAACAACATAACGTTAAGATTCTGCTAAATCTTGTTTTTCGTCACCTTCTTTTTTTTTTTACGAAACAGAAGAATTGGATTCATGTTTCGGTGAAATGTGACAAAAAAAACAAAAATAAGAATTGGTTTGAAGAAAGAAAACGTAAAATAAAATCCTGGAATGTCTGTCTGTCTGTTCATAATAACAATAATTTACAAACGCTTCTTCTGTTGTTTTCAATATATCCGAGTCGGTTGCGTGGTTACGACGCGCGATTTGTTTCTTTGTTTGTTGTTTAAACAATTTCGAATCGCGCACAGAGATATAAGTTTATAATCTGTTATAATATGTATAATATAATAATATATATGTATTGTAGTATGTATAATGATGCTAATAATTCTAAGAAACTGTACAAACAAGAAAATCACAGGGAAATAAAATGTTATTATTACATTAATAATAATAGTAATAATAGTAGTAGTAGTAGTATAATACATGTTTGAAATAATATTAAATCACAAATACACGTACTTATGTATATATAATAGATATATATATATATAATATTTTTTGTTTGTGTGTGTGTATATACATATATATATATATGTATAGTGAACGTTCGTTAATGTTTTGTTTTTTTTTTAGGGGTGGGGGGTTAATCACAGTTCACTAATTATCGAAACTGTTTAGAGTTCGTTTGTTTCACACGCTCACTATTATTCACAGCACTCAAAATTTGTTTTTGTTTCTTTCTTTTTTTTTTAGTGTGAGACAAAAAAAAAATACTGTTGTCACTAGGGTTAAATTATTTATATATAATAATAATAATATTAATATTAATCATTCTGATGATGATTATGATGGATGGATGGTGATAAAAAGAAGAGGTTGGTTATTGATTAAAAATATATGTATTGATTTGCAGAATTATATGTAAATCAAGTACTCTTTGCTATTACTGTTTGTTTTATATAACTCTCTCTCTCTCTCTTTGTCGTCGTCTTCGTCGTCGTCGTCATCGTCCATTGTTTATCTCCGAGTCCCGCCCAATCGGAGATGTTACCACGCCCATCGCAACCGTCCAACGCAACCGTTTCCATTCGATTCGAGAAAAGCCGAAATTTTTGTTTGTTTGGTTGGTGATAGTTTTTTTTTTTGTTTAATGCAATTCAAAGTTGAAATGGGAGATTTAGTTGCTTGTTGTTGGTTTGTTTGTTTTTTTTTTTTTTTTGGTGGTTTTATTTGCTTTCAGGAAGTTTCGTCCCGGCCGAGAGATGGCGGCCTCCGCGTTTTGCGTTTAACCCTCTTCGAGGATCTCGAGGAGTAGCCGTTTGAGACTGTCGAGGCCGGTGAGGAAACCGCCGTCGGGGCCCTGGTGTACGGCCGCAGAAGCATTGGAATTGCTGGTGGTTGATGATGATGATGTGAAGGAGGTGTGCGCGAAATCGATCATCCGCACGTCCACCTGAATCGGAGGCGACGGTGGCGGTGCCGTCGTCATCGTCGTCCTCCTCACAGAGGCGGGAACCATCAACGTTCCTCCTCCCGCTTTCGTCGTCTGCACCTTGGACACCGTCGACTTCTTCGATGAGGTGTCCTCGCCGACGCGTCTCAACCTCTTGGTTTTGATCTTGGTGTGGGAGTGAGTCGATGGTGTCAGACCAAGACTGCCGTCATCCTCCTCGTCCTCCAGCTCCAGGTCCTCGAAGTGCAACGACTGACACGCCGCCGCGTTCTTCGGCGATCCGATCTCGAAATCGGAGACGTCGTCATCGTTCGAGCAACTTCCCGCACCGTTGTATTGGCCCGACAGGGAGTACTCGTCGCTGCTGCTGTTCGAGTAGACCATCCAACTGTCGACCGGACTCGCCGCCGTCGGATGATGGATCTGGGGGGAATCGAGGAACATCGTCGTCTCCTCGGAGATGGGGTAGAACGAGCTGGATTTGGCGCCGCGCGCTGCCGCCTCACCGAAACCCCGATGATGGGAGTCCTGGCTGACCTCTTCGTGACTCATATCCAATGACGAATTCGAAGTGTCCGCATCGTAGTAGCACGGCACGTCTCGACTGTTGTCCGACTCTCTGGTGTCGCAATCGTTCACCAAGTAAACGGGACTGCTCGAACAACAAGGTTGGCTCCTCTTCAGCGACAGATGCGGTACACCTCCGTTACCCTCGTACACTATCAGCAACGAACTGCAAACAAATTCTTCCATTAATTTCAAACAACAACAAAGTCTCTATTTCTCTAAACTGACCACGAATAGAATCTGTAGTTGCTCTGCTTCTCGATGACGCGCCGCAGCTGCATCAACTTGCTGATCACCTTCCGGATGACGTACGCCCTCAACCCGAAACCGTTGTCGAAGAACCGACAGAGGGCGCTCTTGAAACCCTCCTCGTTCAGCTCTCGACCCCAGTACTTGTCCTTCTTCAGGTAGCAATCGGCGTCCGCCTGATACACCTGCATCCCGCACAACCTCACACCCAGCGACGCGGAAGTGCTCGCCGCGCATTTCGCCATCTGCTTCGTCCTCTTCTCGGCGGTCGCGTCATCGCCGTGCTGTCTCGTACCCATCTTCAGATCCAGGATGCACGGATGGCTGTAACTGGCCGTGATGTTCTCCAGCATCAGAAAGTACTGCTTGTTCGTGTTGTCCGACTGCGAGATGCTCTTCTGCACGTCCTTCGGCTTCCCGCTGTGGTGCACCCTCATCCTAAACAAACAAAAAAACAATCAGCATCACCATGACAATCATTTTTCTTTTTGACAACTTTGACATATCTTACGTCAATTATAACCTTTAAACGTTTAAATTTTTCTTATACATTCATAAAGTTGTTACATATTGCGCACAGTGTTTTGATCAACCGACGCTGTCTATCAAATGTTTTGAAGATGTTCATAAAAATAAATAAACATTTCTATTATTGAATGATCCTATTTTATTTTTTCTTATATTCAATAAATATACTCAACAGAGGGTTCGAATTTTATTGAAACGCGGAAAAAGTGCTATAGGTTTTATAATAAGCAATAATAATAATTGAGCTTGTATTGTATTTGAATAAATTAGCAATGTTTTTTTTTAGAAACAGAAATAATATCTGCTTCTGATAATCATATTGTATTTTCAATGCCTTTGCGCTTCGATTACTTAGGAGCTGAGAAGCGGCGAGTAGTATTGAATGAAAATTTCAAATATGTTTCACAAGTTAATTTTGCAAAGTATGCCTAAATTATGTCACAATATCACGTATTGTTCTAAATTGCTTCAAGAATTATTAAAATATGTATATAAGAAATGTATTGGCGTTTGAAGTTTGTAATTGACTTAAGATATTTGAGGTTAATCTCAGTCAAAATCAGTGGCGTACATAGCAACAAAACTATTATTTATAATTAATGACCGTCGTCAATGTGTTAAATGAATTGATAAAGTTGTAAAAGAGAGATACTCACTTCAAGACGTCTTCACGTTTCCTCTTGTAACCGCCGCTCTTGGATCTGTTCGAACTGTTCCCCGTCGTCTCGTCGCGGAAACTCGGACTGTAGCGCTTCTCCAATTTTCCACTACACAGTGTTGCCTGCATGACGCCTGAAACAAGTTTCGCAAAACATATGAAATCTACGCGTTCCGATTGGACAAACACTGAAATTCATGAAAATATTTGTAAATTTACAAAAAAAAAAATCGCCGAAATTTGTAATTCGTGAAACAAAACAAAATTTGTCATAAATGAATTGTGATTTAAAAAGAAAAGCGATTTTTGACTTGTCAAAAAAAAAAAAAATGTAAATAACAAATGAAAAATCTGGGGCGGACGTAATTAATAATAATAATAATAACAATAAAATCATCTCTAATTAATTCCCCATCTCTATTAAAACAAATGTTAAAGTTCTCACATTCCAATTGCATCGATTGCTTGTGGATTGGTGCAATTGGAACGTTCAAAGTTCGAGCGTTGGAAATAGATGGCGCGCTATCAAAACAACTGTCAGAACAACAACAACAACACAAGCGATTAGGTTATAGAGATGAGGAATCCGTATAAAATAGATTGATTTATATATATATATAAATATATATGCAGATGATGTAATGTAATATATAGAAATAGTTTTTTTTTTCTTCAAAGTTTTTTTTTAGATTTTCATATATATAATTGTATGTATGTATCGTTCCAACCCTTTTAATCGGAGCAGTTGATGTACAACGTCCATATACAAACCCCCAAAAGAACGGCGTTGCGTGGGAAGTGAGTGAGTGAGTGAGAGGACACACGATGGCAGCCACTGCAGCAACAACACGGCCCTTTCTGTGGGTCTCTGAGCCTGAGAGAGAGATATACAGAGAGAGAAAGAGAGAGAGAGAGAGAGAGAGATAGCTTTCTTCTTTTAATTTATTTACAATTCGATTGTCAAATATCCATAGCAACCAACAACAATCCATGGCAACCATTGAATACATCCACACGCCCACGCACTCGTTATGCAACCAAAACATCTTTAAACAATCTCTCATCATCGTCATCATAATACACAGAGGATGTTCAAAAAAACAATAAAAATAAACAAAACAAACATTATAAATAAAAAACAATCAAAGATATAAGATAAATGTTCATACACATAATTAATAATAATAATTTGCACCACATCATCATCATCATCATCACCTGACTTTTGCTCTTCGTTTCCATGTCTACGTCTTAAACATTGTTGCCTTGGTGATAATGCGTAAATAAAAAACGGAAAGTATGATTCTTGAAAAACTCGCAATCATTTGCGCGCAATAAATGTCGACTATCGCAAAAAAAAAAAAATAGAACGGAAACAAAACACCGTTGACGTCGTAAAAACAAAACTGTCGAGTCGTTGCTAGGTTTTCATATGTTGCAACAACAACAACATTTGTTTTTAGCACCGTTGATTTATATTGTAGTTTTGAATCGGCAAGGGAAGAGCAAAAATCAGATGCAGCGCGAATAAACGAATAATAATAAAACATGAAAATGTTTCATACTTACCCATCTTAGGTAAACAACAAAGGAACGGTATAATAACAAACAACAAAATAAATTATGGTAGACACCGTGTATATATGTATAAATATATATATATGCTTATATAAAAATAAAACAAATAAATAATAAAAGTACCAATAAACAAATCGAGATGGCGCTGTTCTGTTTTTTTTGTTTTTTTTTGGTTATGTAATCGAAATGCATGAAATATCATCACCTTACTATGTTCGGGCTCTCTTTTTCATTTTATTTATTCATTTCCAAATAAATCAAGTCTCCTTTTCATATTGTATTTTTTTTTTCCTAAATATATATATACAAAATCGATCCTAAACAAAAGACAAACAATTCTTGGAAAATCGTACACATAAGTAATGTAAGATCGCCCCCCAAAATAATAATTACACAGAAATTACATTTGCAAATATTAAAAACGGAGCGAAATTTTCGTCAACAATTGTTTTATTATTAAACGAAATAATCAATAAATAAACAAAAGAAACAACAACAACAACAAGGTAACAACAATAAAATCAGCGAGAAAGGTGGGTTGTTATGGGAACACACAATCAATCAAGTTACAAAGTGGTTCGAAACTTGTTTCTTTATTGTCCATGTAAAAAGAAAATGTAAATACGTTTGTTTTTGAGAGTTGTGGAGAGAAAATAATAATTAACTTCTTGATTGTGCGAATCAAAAAAAAAAATATTTCTATATTTAAATACTTTCATGATGTACACACACTGTATTTATATATATATATATAAAAACAAAAGAAAACATGCGAATTGTATCCCTGCTTTATGTGGATGATTATTATTAATAATAATAAATTATGATTAACACACAGACACAAAACGTAGTAAGTATTAATTAATTAATATAATGGAGGTGGAGAGAACAAATAAATTCTTTATTTCGCAAGAATTTCGTGTACAAAAACCTAATGATTTTTTTTTTTGATCGAGAATTAAATTAAACTAATCAACAAAAGTACAATGTACATCAGGGACAGCAGCAGAAACAACAGAAAAATTATGACGGGAATCGAAAACGAAAAAACTATGCAGAAATACAACGGAAAGCACATGTCTCGTTCGTTTCTCTTTTTTTTTTTAACTCTTTTCAATTATTTTTTTTTATATATATCAAATTTCCCTAACACAAAACTAAATAAAACTAAAAAGAAAGAAAATACTTACGAATCCACAAACAAAACAGAAGGAAACGAGCTGTGCGCGTATCCGTTTCCGAAATTGCGCGATCGCAGTCGGCTTTTGATTTTTTTTTTGTTGTTGTCGGTGTTAGGTAAGCTCGCGAAACAAATGATTTAAAACAAAAAAAAAACAAACAAAGATGAATCGTTGCAGGGGAGAGAGAGAGGGTTGATTGGTTGGTTACGAGGTGGCGTGATTGGTTCGGTTCGGTTGGGGTGGGGGGTTTTGGCTTATTGGTTATACGATGGGGGGAAACGATTGTATATATATTTTTTTTTTTTTCAATAAAAAATAAAAATCTTGTTCATCTTACCTTTGTATTTCGGTACAAACGTTTTGATATCTTGGTCCTGGATGTTCTGGTAAAAGTCCAGTTCGCGGTAGTTGAGCGGCTTGCAGATGGTGTTCGGGTTCAGCACCATCAGTCTCGTGTGACCTCCAACCTGCAACCAAACAAACACAAGTAATTATCGTGACATTTCCAATAAGAACAAAACAAACTTCAAGTTGGCATTAAGCAATCAAAAGCATCAATTTAATATTTTATTAGTAACGTTACTGAAATTAAGTTGATAACCAAACGAACGTAATTTAAAGACACAATAACAACTTAAAAGTTGGCATTACGTAATGCAACCAAAAACATCGTATGTTTTATTAGTAACACGTTACTGAAATTACGTTGGTATCATAATACCATCATTTAGTTATGTAATCATGATTAGATAACCAAACAAACGTAATTTAAATACACAAAAATAACTTAAAATTTGGCATTACAAAATGCAACCAAAAGTATCGTATGTTTTTTTAAGTAACACGTTACTTAAATTACGTTGGTATCATTGTACCATCGTTTGGTTATGTAATCATAATTAGATAACCAAACAAACGTAATTTAAAGACACAATAACAACTTAAAAGTTGGCATTACGTAATGCAACCAAAAGCATCGTATGTTTTTTTTATTAACACGTTACTGAAATTAAGTTGGTATCATAGTACCATCGTTTGGTTATGTAATCATGATTAGATAACGAAACGAACACAATTTAATGACACAATAACAACTTAAAAGTTGGCATTACGTAATGCAACCAAAAGTATCATGTTTTTTAGTAACAAGTTACTGAAATTAAGTTGGTAGCATAATATTATCGTTTGGATATGTAATCATGATTAGATAACCAAACGAACGCAATTTACTGACACAATAACAAATTAAAAGTTGGCATTATCTAATGCAACCAAAAATATCATTTGTTTTCTTTTAGTAACACGTTATTGAAATTATGTTGGTATCATAATACCATCATTTGGTTATGTAATTATGAATAGATAACCAAACGAACGCAAATTAATGATACAATAACAACTTAAAAGTTCGCATTACCTAATGCAACCAAAAGCATCGTACGTTTTTTTAGTAACATGTTACTGAAATTAAGTTGGTACCATAATACCATCGTTTAGTTATGTAATTATAATTAGATAACCAAACGAACGCAATTTACTGACACAATAACAAATTAAAAGTTGGCATTATCTAATGCAACCAAAAGTATCATATGTTTTTTTTAGTAACACGTTATTGAAATTAAGTTGGTATCATAATACCATCGTTTGGTTATGTAATCATGATTAGACCTAATTTAATGACACAACAACAACTTAAAAGTTGGTATTACGTAATGCAACCAAAAGTATCATATTTTTTTTTAGTTGGTATCATATTACCATCGTGTGGTTATGTAATCTTGATTAGATAACCAAACGAATGTAATTTAAAGACATTTGTATTGTAACAGTAACAACTTAAAGTTGGCATTACGTAATGCAACCAAAAGTATCATTTTTTTTTAGTTGGTATCTTAGTACCATCGTACCATCGTTATGTAATCATGATTAGATAACCAAACAAATGTAATTTAAAGACATTTGTATTGTAACAGTAACAACTTAAAGTTATAATCATGATTAGATAACCAAACAAACGTAATTTAAAGACACAATAACAACTTACAAGTTGGCATTACGTAATGCAACCAAAAGTATCGTATGTTTTTTTTAGTAACACGTTACTGAAATGAAGTTGGTATCATAATACCATCGTTTGGTTATGTAATAATGATTAGATAACCAAACGAATGTAATTTAAAGACATTTGTATTGTAACAGTAACAACTTAAAGTTGGCATTACGTAATGCAACCAAAAGTATCGTATTTTTTTTTAGTTGGTATTATAGTACCATCGTTTGGTTATGTAATCATGATTAGACGTAATTTAATGACACAATAACAACTTACAAGTTGGCATTACGTAATGCAACCAAAAGTATCGTATGTTTTTTTTAGTAACACGTTACTGAAATTAAGTTGGTATCATAGTACCCATCGTTTGGTTATGTAATAATGATTAGATAACCAAACGAACGTAATTTAATGACACTTGACAATGCAAGGAGCAATTAGGGTTGATCAATATTGAATATAGGGAGTAACTCACTTGGTTGCTAAGCGGATGCAGGTCGACCTCTTTCTGATAGTCGTCCGCGTTGTTGCTTGGTGGTTCGAGCCTGAGCAGATCCCTGGAAGACGGACTGTTGGTGTTTGCGGTGCCGTTGGTACTACTGCTGCTGCTGTTGCTGTTTGTGGTGCTGCCCGCATAGTGTCGGCTTCGCTTTTCAGTATCTCCCATACCCCAATCGGCCAACAGGTACACCATCCCCCTTCGCCACGCCACAAACAAAAAGAAACTTAATCCTTCCCTTTTTTTTTATTTACTCTTTTCTTCCCACTTCTTCGCACCCCTCCTCTCACACCAACAACGTCCTCCACGAAACGTCACTTATCTGCAAAACAAAAGAAAACAAAAATTACTAAAACGTCAATACGAAAACCGGCAGTTGGTATTGCATATTTAAATCTGATTTTTTTTTTCTCTTTCACTGAAATTATTCAGTTGGTAATAAGTGAACGGACACAAACAAACGAATCATTTAAAAAAAAAATCTCTCAGCGAATAACGGACTTCGACTCTCTTTTTTTTTGTTTCATTCCTCGTCGTCGTTTCCATTTGTGCCATGTGAACTAAGCAGTAGGCCTTGGACTAAAATCGAAACAAAGAGCGATCGCTCCATTAACGTGAAACGAAACGCGCGCGCGGAATGGAAAGGGAGTGAAATGCGTGAGAGAAGAAAAAAGAAACGTAAGTAAGCTGCAATTTATTTATTGCTGCGAAAGGTGAAAGATAGATGGAAATACCGGAGGAAAAAAAAAAAGGTCAAGGAGTTCAGCCTTTTGTTTTCCAGGAAATCACTGCACTGCATTCAATTGTTTCTTTCTCCGCGTTGATTATACCGATACAACAATAAACTTATAATCAGATTGCAATTGGATGTGTTTTTCAATTATCAAATGAAATATATTAAGCTTGGCAAATGTGGAACGGGTCTACTCACTCGGATGAAACCGGATATCCGGTGTAAACTGTCAAATCCCCGGCTCCTCCACCAATAGTAATACATATAAAAGAGACTTGCGCAGACACGAAACTGGCAACACGAGCTGACACAAACTGACTGACGTCTGTCATTGAGGCGACTGTCATTCAGAGAACGCCCCCTTCGATTATCTTCGCAACGCGTTTTTCTTTTGAATTCTTTTGTTTTTAAGATGTTACCATGGAAACGTAGGTGCGAATTTAAAGCGCGTTTCTCTCTCTCTCTCTGTGTGTGTTATAACTACCTTCCACCAATCCGGTTTCGCGAGCCAAGAACAGGTTGATTTACTCCACATTCTCCATGTGTGTGTGTCGCGTTCGTCTCGTGTCTCACCGCAATATTCTCAACACATATTTTTTTCTCTCTATTTTTCCCATCAGCCTAGGTCATGATTTCGCAGTTAGCCGTATTCGTATTTCGAGAAACAATGGAAATATTTTGCAACAATCATTGGATTACACTTTCGTGCAGCGTTCTAGAAATATTCTTAGAAAGTGGGCCTACCTCAATGCAATAACAAATTAAATATATTTTTTTCTTAAATAATTAAATAAACTTGCCTGCTGTCACTTTGAGGTTAGAAATCAAACAATTTGACGTTTGCTAAAACAATGTGACAGATGCGACGTTGCCAATTCGAACGGATTTACTTTTAAGTCGAGTAACTGTAAATTATTTCATACGGTTCAAAAAAAAATACACTCACACAATACAATTTGGAAACGGGTCAACGGACTTAAAGAGAGCGGTCTCATTCAATTGAAGCGAATTCGCGGTTCTTTGACCTTTTTTTTTTTGTTTTAAATTTTAAATATTTTCTAAATTAAGAAATTCTGAAAATTTTAAGTGCATAGAGTGCATCAATCAATCAATCAAGTACCAACATAAAATTGGCAAATTTATTTTTTGTTTGTGTCGAAAGAAATGTAGTTGGCAATAAAATCCGGTTTTAAAAATTGTAAAGTTAAAAATATATATTATTTTTTTTTAATAGCGCATTTCCTATTTTTGGTGGACGTGCACCTTTTTATAAGTTTACTTCTAATTCATACATAATTTTTTTCTTATTTTTTTTGAAATCAGGCCAGAATTTATATATATTTTTTTTTTTGCATGTTGATGAAGAGTGAGTAAATAAAATTAGTAATCCCACGTTTGCTAGTGCGAATGGAGGAGAATCGCTGCCAGAAAAGCTTTACTAACATCTAATAGTAAGTTTTGTAGTGTGCGCTTGATATATAACTGGGATATTATTGAGATAGGTCGTAGGAAAAACGATTAATAATTGCCTTGTGTTGTAACCAGGTCGAAGTGTTGCCAATTACAAGAGATTGTAACGAATTTAACTCCATTTACTTGCATACATTAACCAAATCAATAGACAATTTTTGTTTTATTCATGCAACTCGCTCCACATATAAACAATTGCATCAGTTGTCTTAGCAACAAATTACTCCGCCATGTTTGTTTTTTTCTAGCGTCATCGCTTATGCAACTTAATCCACGTTAATATATAAATTACCGTATTTGAAGATCATTTTTGTTTGCATTGTAATCATATTACATCATTTAGAAAGTGAATCAAAGTTATATAAACTTTAGAAATTTTAAAAAATAATGCAATTTGTGGATTTCACTTCCGGTTTTTGCAATCAGAGGATGTTCGAAGGACATCTGCGCGTGCCATGCGAAAATAAAAAGAAGGACGTCGATTGACCTGGTGACCTATTTCCGTCGCACCCTTCGTGCGGAACGAAGGGGGAAGCGGTGTGTGTGTTTCTGTCCACACCCTAAAAACAGGTGCACGATGGATGACATAACCTCAGTTTATTTATTTTTTTACACCCTTAAGAATAAAACCACAGTAATATATCGATACTTGCTAGATTCCCTAAACATTCACAGCTTTCATATGCATCTTTTGGATTCATTCTATGTATTATAGTTTTCGAAAAATCACTAAATGTGAAAAACACTGCTTTTTCGAGCATTT